TTGGGGTCGTGACAAAAATCAACTCTAAACTTAATTTATGATATTATATTATATTATATTATATTATACTTATATTAGTATTGTATCGGGTGTTGTTAAAGATATTAATGTATCAGATATAATTCATATAGAAAGTTGATACAATTATCATACAATCGTGATACAATTCAAAAACGTCTTTGTATTTGAGTTTAAATCTAAAATTTCACCTAAAACCCAACTCTAAAACTAACCAATCTCCTTCAAAATGGAGATATATATATTCCAAAGAATATTCACAATCATTTGCAAAAACATTCAATATAAATAAATCTTAAATTTGTAAAACCCGAATATCGAATGCAAAACTTCAAACAAAATTAATAGTTATCAATAGTGAACCCTCTGCTGCTACAAATTTAGAGATAATGTCGATGGAATTGTCAATTGTTGAATCTTTTAATGGTTGTTGGTGAAATTAATTTAAAGAAACATATTTTGCTAAATTTTAGAGAGATAGTCACTTGATTTGTATGAAAGAGAGAGAGGTTTTTTTAAAGCAAATATTCCACTAGGCAGACTGCCTAGTGGCTAATATATAAATAAAATCCCAAAGAGGGTTCAAAACATACAAGATGTCCAAAACTGACTAATAGTTGCATGAAGCTAACAACTACTAATACTAATAAAAGACAAAATGCTAAAGGACTAGTTGTTACATCATATAATGCTGACATAGTCCTGTTAGTGTATGTGAATCCAATTGCCAATGGCAAATACCAAGTGGCACCTATCAAGCTCTCACCAGGCGCCAGAGTATGCATTCCAAAGACCAAACTGAATTCCAAACCAATACACCAACAGATTAAACTCAGCAAAAACTTCCAATCTTCATTAAAGATCCAATGATGTTCCTTCCAATCAACACGGAGTATCAACTGTTTTCTCCTCAAACATACCTTGTCTACTGCATTATCATCTCCAGAATGAGTCTGTGAACACACTGATACCACTGAACAATGACAATACAGTACACTAAGTATGACAGACCAAATCAGATGTAGGAAGAACTTGAGTATGCACTCCATGGTACAGCTGCAGCTTCATGCGTGTGTAAATGATCCCAGTTGTTACCATTAATATCCATAATTTCCTCCTTAGCATAGATAGCACAAAAAACCTGCACAATACTAACGACAAAAGAATCATGAAACTGGATGTGCAATGTGCAGGCCTACTATTCATGCCATGCATATTCTGCAGAGTAGCAGCCATTAAGACAACTTCCTGTATATGTAATGTACCATTAGTGACTCCACTAGACTTCCAAGATTGTTGCAATACCAATTTCCAAGTCCTTAGGATGTCCAGAACCTCGAACAATAGGATCCAAAATAAGGTTGTGCAAAGCACAACACTACTGTTCATCAGATTTTTCATATTGTGCCTATTTGTAAAAATAAATTCCCAATTCCTTTGTACACTTCCACCACATAACCATAGAGTATCCTCAGATTGAGTATGATAACATACTAATACCACTGAGTAACACCCTCTAGTTATACAGTAGAGAACAAAATAATTCAAACTTGTACGCAAACCTTGTCTTCCTTTTAGATTTATACAGTGTAGAGGACTAACATGTGAACTTAGAGAATTAACTACCATAAACTGTAAATAGAACAATTTGAACACAACTAAATAACCCCCAGATTGAGCATGATGCCATGCTAATATCACTGAGAAGTTATTCAACAATGTCCAGACACACTTAGTATGAGGTTCAGGTAGTTCTAAGGATATTGTGTTCATCAGTCTGGTGCTTTCCTCTTGGCAATCCAAACTCTAAGTTAGGAATCTGAGTTTTGTCCATATTGATTAATACTTTTCCTTCAGATGGCAACTCCTGAAATGAGTGAAATGTGATTGTACCTGCAAAAGAGAAAATAAGGTTAGCTAAAAAATCTACCACTTTGTTGCCCTCCCTTAGCACATGTTGAAACAACACATTATATATGTTCTTTATCTCCTTGATCCTTCTCACTTATGCACTATACACCATGGTGTCTCTCATTCATCATCAATGATCTTCCTCATCACTGAAGAGTCAGTCTCCATGATCAAAGGGTGAAGCTGCCTCTCTACACAGTAAACCAAATATGCAACAATTCCCTTTACCTCTGCCACAATATTAGTTGCCTCCCCTATCTCCCTTGCCTTTGCAAATACCAAGTTGCCACTATGATCTCTAACATATAAGCCATAAGAACTAGGACCCGGATTCCCCCTTGATTCTCTATCAGTATTACATTTGAACCGTCCCTCATATGGACATTGCCATGTGACTCTCTTAGTGACTACAACTGGTTTGTAGTGTTCAAAGAACTTAATCATCTCTGGCCATAAAAGTGGAATCCTAGGAAGCCAAGGATACCTCACATTTGCCAAATAGTACAAAGTCTTGCTTACTTCATGAATGACCCTTAATAATGGTCTAAGCTTTGGACAACACTTTGCATTCCACCATTCCCTTATAACCTGATGTACCTATACCATGTTAATCACCAATCCTGCAGCCTGAGTGAAGGTCTTCCACACCTTATTTGCAGTATTACTTGTTAAGAACAAATGTTGGAAGGAGTCTTCTTGTGGTGGCAAGAAAAACCAGCACTTAGAAACCACCATGTAACCCCCTCTCCTCCATAAATCACCAGTAGGTACCTTCCCTTTCCAAACTCTCCATAAGAAGAAGGAGGTTTTGAAAGGTAATCCTTTGGTCCACAACTTTGCAAATTCAGGATTACTCGGTTCTCTATGTCTCAAAATCCTCCATGCACTACTCATAGTAAACTTACCTGAAGGTGTAGGCATCCACCTTAGAGTGTCCCAGTATTCATCATCATTAGCAAAATGAACTTCTTGTCTAATATGATCAACAATCTCCTGTGGGAATGTTTGATCTAGGAGTACATCATTCTATTGATCTTCATCTCGCAGCTCAGCAACCTCTTGCAAGTCTTCATTTATAGGGAAGTCTGGAGGCAATACATGATATAAAGCTCCCAAGCCAGTCCAATTCTCATGCCATACATTAGTAGATCCCCTATTCATTTCCCATAAGATTGCATGCTCCACCTCATCTCTTGCCTCTAACATTTTCCTCCAAACATGTGAGCCTCTCCTAAACTGAACCACAGTAGGTAATTCTTTCTTGCAATACTTATTCCACATGAAGTTTGACCATAAGGATTTAGAAGTTCTAAATCTCCACCAAAGCTTTGCAAATAGTGCTTTTGAGACATCAAACAATAATCTAAAACCTATCCCCCCTCCTCCTTGGGAAGACATAAATTTTTCCACTTTGTCCAATGTCTACTTCTCCCTTCTTCCTTATTGCTCCAGAAAAATCTCGCAAAAGTTTTATGGAGATGTACTATGACATTGTCGGGTGGATCAAGGACTGACAGTATGTGTGTAGGTATACTTTGAAGCACACTTGAGATCAATGTGGCCTTACCTCCATAAGATAGTAATTTCCCTTTTCATGAGTGTAGCTTTACCTTTACCTTCTAGATCAGGTCATTATAGTAGTCCTTCCTTCTTCTTGTATAGAAAATTGGACATCCAAGGTAAGTAAATGGGAAGCTGCCTTTAGAGAAACCAGTGATATTAGTTACTGCATTGACCAAATTTCCAGCAACCTTTGAGTGCATATAATACGAAATCTTTGCCTTATTGATCATCTGCCCAGAAGTTGTCTCATACAAAGCCAAAACATCTACTATCTTCTGAAGGGAGTAAGGATCAGCAGATGCAAAGATAATAGTATCATCTTCATAAGCTAGATGATTCAATGGATCAGACCATTTTGGCATACCAAAACCTCTAAACTGCCTATCTTCAAACAAATTATTCAATGACCTTGATAAAACCTCTGCTGAGAGAATAAACAAAGCTGGTGATAGAGGGTTACCTTGCTTCACACCCCTTGTTGAGTGAAAAAATCCAGAAGCTTGTCCATTAACCATAACAGAAGACCAATTGTTAGCAATGAGATTCCAAACCATGTTTATAAAGCATTCTGCAAACCCCATTCTCCTCAATGCATGCATCAAATATTTCCAATCATATGTCTTAGCCATATCTAATTTGATCACCACATTGGTTGGCTTACCTCTCAATCTTATATCAGTAACAATCTCTTGAGTCAATAAAATATTCTCAAAGATACTCCTTCCCTTGACAAAACCAGATTGATTTTTTGAAATCAAAGAAGGCAGTATCTTTTCTAGTCTATCATGCACCACCCTTGAGAATACCTTGTTAATAAAATTACTCAAGCTGATAGGTCTAAGGTCAGAGAATGTTTGAATTTGAGGCTTTTTAGGCAATAAAACAAGGTTAGTATGTGTTATTGATTTAGGCAATGGACTGCCCTCAAAAAACACAATTAACAATGTGTGAATATCTTTCCCCACAATATCTCATCATGCTTGAAAGAACAAACCTGAGTAACCATCTGGACCACTTGCACTTTCACCCCTCAGTGCAAAGACAGCAGCCTTTACCTCCTCCATAGTAGGAAATCTACATAGTTCCAAGTTTTGCTCCCTTGTCCATTGTAGGTACATTGTTTAACAAATCAAAGCTTGTAGGATCCCCCTCCTTAGTGAATTGCTTCTGGAAAAAATCCACTGCAGTTTCAGATAACTTGTCTTGGTCTTCAATCCATGAGCCTTCACTATTCTGGATCCTTTTTAATTATAACTTTTGCCTCTTCCCATTGACACAATTATGGAAGAACCTTGTATTTCTATCTCCTTCTTCAAACCAAGTCATACATGCCTTTTGTTTCCAATATTGCTCCTCAATGCTCAAGTACTTCTTCAACTTAGCTTGAGCTTGTTGAAGTACTATTCTATTCTCTAATGAAGGATCGTCTTCAAAAAGCATCTCCTTAATCCTTACCACATCCTCCCTAATAGCCAGCTGCTTGAAGATATCCCCATAGGTTAATTTACTCATTTTGAAAGAGCAATCTTAACCCTCTTCAATTTTTGCTTGAACATCAAGAAAGGGTCCCCTATAAAGTCAGTCATCCAATTATGCTTCAACACATATAAGAAAGTTTCATGTTTTGCCCAGAAGTTTAAGAACTTGAATGGTTTAACAACTTTCATAGCTTCCTCTCCACAGCTCATCAAAAGTGGTGCATGATCAGATCCTGTTCTAATGAGGTGCTCAACCTCTATTGTAGGAAACAAGGATTGAAAGGTCATGTTCACAAGGATTCTGTCAAGTCTTTTAAAGATACACTCTTCATTTGACCTCCCATTCCACCATGTGAAAGGGCTACCCTTGTATCCAAGATCAAACAATCCACAAGAGTTGACACAGAATGCAAAATCTTCATACTCTAGAGGATACACTGGTAGGCCACCTATCTTCTCTTCCTCTCCCAACACTACATTGAAATCACCCCTACTAGTCATGGCAGCTCCATATCAGTAGCCAAATAGTATAGATTGTCCCATAATTCCAGCCTCTCTAATGCACCGCACTTAGCATATACAAATGCTATCATAATATATTTACCAAGACCCTGATGATACACTCTGATGGTCATTTGTTGCTCAGTGTCAATCAAGAGATCCCATTCCACAATAGAATCAAAAAATAACCAAATTTTGCTATTTACATTAGAGATTGCAGCTTCCATACCTAATCTTCTTCTATATTTGTCAAGAAATTTCTTCTTCTGTAAAGGCCCCATGGGTGCTACAATGAAAAAACCATGTTCCTTTTGCATATTGATCACTCTCTGAAAGGCCTATTGAGTTTTAACAGACCTTATATTCCATATGAGTGTTTTAATCATCATCATGAAGCTCCAGAGGCCGCCCTTCTAGGCAAAATTCTTGTAGGTTGTAATGGCTCTTTAGGATGATTTTTCTTTCCTTTCTTTCCACTTCTATTAGCTGTTGTAGGAGATACATCCCCTTCTCACGTCACACCTTTAAAATTCTCTACTGTAGACTCATTATCTTCTTCCCCTTCAAATTGTTGTTGCTGCTCCACCAAAGAATTCTGAATGTCTAAGGGCAACCCCTGATGTGTAATGAGGTCATCTAGTACCTGATTAGGTGATTTCAATGGCATATTAACTTTGATATGTAAGGGGGATCCAGTTCCAGATGAACATGCCATTGGCAATGCTTCACTTTCTCCCGAACCTATGGCTTCATCACCTGGTTCATAGGGTGTCAATGCTGCTTCATAATGGTCAGAATTGCTAACCATATCTCCTAGCTTCTCCTGCATCATTTTAAATTGAAGCTCATACACAGAACTCATATTAGGATTTACTGTAGCTACTGTTCCATTGAGATCAGACCCTTTCCCATTGTCTGTTTGTTGATTTTGGCACACTGTATCCTTTACAACATCCTTAGGAACATTCCCAACTTGTTCCTTCATCAATGCATAAACTGGAACCCCATCTACATAGGCCAAAATCTCCCCAGGAAAACCAAATTGTATTGTTCCATTGACCTGATCTTTGGCTAATGGTGCAGTGTGAGAAGACCTTTGTTTTCCTGCATCTATATATTTACCATGATCCCCTCCAGCTGAGGCATTGACCTGATCCTCCATTGATGTCCCTCTATCATCAACCCTAGTTGTGGAACTGATAGGATTTACTGTAGCATCATCTAATTTGATAGTTTTTTGTAGCTGCATATTGTCTCTATTTTCCTTGCCTTTAGTTGTGATTTTTGATCCCATTCTAGCTTCCATTACCTCTGCCTCATCACTCCATAACACATTTCTTGAACTAACTTCATTCCCATCCTCTAATTGCCCAGCATCATCATACGTTTGGGATGGAATTTCTTGACATGACTGATTAGTAATTACATTACATTGTCTTAATTCCTCCTTATTTGTCCCAAACCTCATATGCACCCAATCAATAATATTTTCCTTTTTAGCATCAACATCGATCCTGAAGTCAATAGGAATAGGAGCATTCAATAAAAGATCTCCCATTAATGAAGATTGAACCCCTCCTAAACCCCTCCTAAAATAGGATTCAACTTATCCTTTTGTAGAACTACCTCCCCTTCCTTATTTGCCTTTTCCGCAACTTCCTTTTTTACTCTTCTCGCGTCAAATTCTTCCTTATTTAAGGTGGAAGTTCCACCTTCCTTACCAGACAGCTTCCTTGAGTCACCTCCCCTAGTCCCATTAGGAGTAGGATTAGGAGATTGATCTTTTTCTTTCTTCTTATTTTCCTGTTGTTGCACCTTGCCGGTTCCCTTACCTCCTTGATCTTTCCTTTCATTCTTGTCCTTACCATCTACATTGCCATCCGTAATTGTCAAAATTGGTTGAGCATCTTCCTCCACTTCTAAAGCTTCAAATTTGTTCTTGGACATCACTGCCTCCTCCTTAAGTTTTCCTTTTCCCTTGTTGTCTTCTTTTTCCTTTGGCTCCTCAATAATATGACCCCTCTTGTCCTTTTGATATTTTTTCTTTCTAGCTTGCATCTATTCCTGCCTAGTTGGGTTGGTAATAGGTTTTCCTAGTATCTTACCACTCGTTAACACCTTTGTAGTATTGGTAGCAGTACCAACAATACTTTGCTCATTCTTCACATCATTAGCTTGTTCTTTAAACTTCCTCAATGCCGGATTAATCACCCAACAGTCTTCTTCCTTGTGACCTTGCTTTTTACAAGTTTTACAATACTTAGGCATATAATCATATCTAATCTTGATCCACTTGAACTCCTCCGGCCCAATTTCATTTTCTTCCTCGACTATCTTGATCTTTGAGGTAAATTAGCTAACAAAGTCACCTCAACCTTCACCTTGGTACAACTTGGCCTTGTACCATTTTGAGTAGCCAAATCAACATGTAATGGCCTCCCTACTGCCCTAGCTAAAGAAAATACAAACTCCCTTCCAAAGAAATTAGGAGGCAAGTCTTGAAAAGATATCCATGCTATAGCAATAGGTGTTTCTTCATCAACTTTCCACCATGGATTCCACTTGGTGCACCTCATCTGCCACATCTCGTTTTGAATTCTCAAATAATACGCAGGCTTGGATAATAGATGAATATAATCTTCCATCAATGAGAGCTTGATCAAAACATGACTGTCCTCAATAAGACCAACTGAACATGGACCTTTTAATTCACATTGTATGGGCAAAACTTTATGTAACTCATGAATCCCAGGTTTGCCATACAAAAACTTACCCAAGACTCCAAGTTCAATCCTTGTTGTGCAATGGATTGCCTTACTTCTTGCTTCTTCCATCTCACAATTGGTTCTCCATGAAGATACTCAATTGGTTTTAGGGCTACGTTAGTCGCAGGTTGCATGGGAGCATTTAATGCACTAGGTTTGAGCATATTTGCGTAGTTTTGGATTGGATTTGGGATTGTAGTAGATTGGGGGGTTGTAACTGGTGGAGAAGACGACTACCCAACCTCCATTGAAGGCTGGGCAGTGGCCGGCGCGGCCATGGAAGTGTTTCTCTCTAGTCGCCTCCAAATCGCCTGGAGAAAGAGGTTTTGGTTGATTTGCAAATATAATTTTTAAGGAACCTAAGGAAAAGTAATAAATAAGTTTTTAATATAATATCCCTAGGTAAAACTTTATTTATCCTCATCAATCCTATAACCCACCACTTAACCTTCGCCTGACCCATTACCCAGGTAAATTAAATCAGCTGACCCCTTTCTTCTTTCGTACTGCCCGTGGAAATAGAGCAGTGAAAAAGGAAACATTAAAACACTATTTTCATGTAGCTGGTCCAATTGTATATGGTTTACAGAGACAGCCCATCAGATATTTTTGTTTATAGGAGAGGTGGGTTTTTATGTAATACAAATAATACACATGGCAGACTAAGAAATTGCCACATGGCGAAGTTAAAGAAAATTGACCAAGTTAGGTCTGTTAGATATAGGAGTAAATTTGAGCACAAAAATGGCTAGGGGCATTTATAACCCCAAAAGTTTAACGGAAGGTATTTTAAAGCTATTTTTCATACGTTAGGGACATTTTTGCTCTTTTCCATACTTTAAGAGGATTTTGGTTGGGGTTTAGATTTGTTTCTGTACAAAATTTATCACTAATTTATACTATTTTCCTATTCCTCATAAATGATAAATGATGAGTACTTAAATAAGTTATGAGTAAATCTATCTACTATTTTATAGGGGTACAATATAAAATAAGAACGAAGAGCAATACATGGATTAAAAAAACTAAAATGACAAAACTGACCCACAAAATTGTAAAGGAAATTTTATTTTGCTTAAAAAGTAAAGATAATATGCAATGTATACTAATATGTATTATATCAAATTAAATATTGAATAGGAGATCATCCGTACACTATAATACATATTACTAATCCCTGCATTATAACCTCTACATAACTTGTCTTTAAAACAAACAACCCCTAGAAAGTACGTGACAATCCTTAGCCTCATTGGTACTTAACACACTTATGTAGAAGCCTAACTTGTACTCTTGTATATGGAGAAGTTAAGAATGCTCCATAAACGTATTCTTCCCAATGCATACTGAATCCATGCCATAAAAGAACTCTTGATTCCCAATGCCACAGCTGGTAACAGAATATTGCCCAAAGTCCAGAAAAGTTTTCTCTGAGTGTGTTATGGTGAAAGAACTTAAACTTTCGCGTCCAAGAATATCAATGACTTTTTGGTACATGTTATTTTGGAAACGAAAGATCAACCACATGCCGCCCACCACAATACCCTTTTCTTCACCTCCGATGACAGTAGCTCAACGGGAAGTTCTCTTATGGTAAGTGCAAAGTTCAAAACCACAAGTCCTAAGGTATAGTACTCTTGGCTAAGTGCAAAACAGACGCCCCGCACTCCTTAACAGTTACTGTGATCATTTAACTAACACAAGAAAAAGAAGGGAGTAGATGGTGCATGGAAGAAGGGGCCTGCTGAAGGCAGCAATTAGGGGGAGGTGTCTGATCATTGCGAATTGATATGCTATTGAGAGTATCACACAAGAAGATGCACATGGGTTACACCGGAAAGGAACCCCCTAGAAAGCATTCTTGACACAACCAAACTTACCAAGAAACACCTTCATATCTATTCTAGGATTAGATGGTTTGACAAAACTATAAATTTGATTCCTACTAGAAGAAACTAATTTAAATTAGGTGCTACAAAGAAGAGGTAAGCCCCTCAACTTCGTATCTTCCCTAATATGCCTTCTTCTTCACGTACATATCACTGTTCGTAGATTTATAGTACCTTTTCTCCTAATTCTCGATTTTCATTGCAGCTCAAATCACCATCCTCTATCAGGATCTCACATAAACTCCGCCCAACAGAGAGAAATGCAAACAGGAACTCACCAAAAAAAAGAAAAGAGAAAAGAAAGGGAACCACAAGGCTTTAATCATTAACAAATGCTATGTCATAT